TTTCTGGGTCTTTTACGATTTTAAGCTTCTTTTCTCCTTTTGTTTATATAGTTTTTGGTTTCCTTTATTCTTTATTCATGTAATTCTTTAGTTTTAGAATAGTTTTCTCTCTCTTAGGTTGAGAGCTTCTCTCTCTAGATTAGGCTAGATTAGGAGTAGTTTTAGAGAGAGAAAGTGAAGGATTTCAATGGTGATTGAGAGATTGAAGATACAAGGGTGACAATTGTGTTCAAGTCTTCTCTATTATCAATGAGCATTCTTAACTCTATCTCACCTTATTGCTTTGTTTAATTTCATGTTTGTTTGGTTTAATTTTGATGTTTGATGCTTGATTAGTGTAATTGTTCTTGGTATTTTGTTGATTCTTGATTTCCATAGTTGTTAGTTGATAGATGATGATTCTTGAATAGTTGTTTGGCTAGGAATTGGGTGAAACTTGTATGATTGATTAATTGTGATTAATTTGGGAATTGTGTTGATTAATTGTTGAGATTAAAGTGATTAGTGAAGGTTTTCATGTGTGTAATTCAATTAGGCCTTGAGAATTATGCTAGATTGCATTGTAATTGCTAATGACATGAACAATTGATTTAGGAATTGCAATTATCGATTGGTTTTTATTGTGATTCTCTTATTTTGTTATTCATAGTGAACCCTAGCTTAACAATTAGGAGATAGCTCTTTGATTCCTATTGATTGCTCTTATCATTAGTCCTCACAACCTTTGATTGGCATGCTCTTCCCAAGTTGTTGCGATTGACATGATTACTTGTTGATCCCCGTTCCTAGTGTTTTATTTCCTTGGTTACTTGTTTTGTTAGTTGTTAGTATTCTCTTTTACCTTCGTCTTCGACCTAGCTTAGGTGCATAATTGAAAGTGCTTGAACATTACCGTTCATTTGGGTTCGATCCTTGACTTGCCTCTATACTCGTATTTAGGTTTGTTAAGTGTTTATAAATTTAGTTTGACCGAGGGAAGATTAGATAACGACTCCCCTTCACATAACTCAGGTGCATTGTCACTCCTAACCATCTTAACAATTTTGTCAAACTGATTCTCAACATACTAAACAAAGTGTTTAAAAATCTTAACAGCATCAGACTTATAATGCATAAGAAAAATCCAAGTTATTCTGCTAAAATCATCAACTATTGTCAAAAAGATTTTACATCCATTGTAAGTTGGATCAGGATTTGGACCCCATACATCAAAGTGTAAAAGCTCAAATGGAACTTTTGTCTTAATACTGCGAACTGGAAAGGACATTCTAGTCTGTCTAGCAACAGGACAGATTTGACAAAAACTATCTAAGGAACAATCCTTATTACAAATGTCACAAACTACAAAGTGAAGTTTACTGACTGGAATGTGACCCAACCTAAGGTGCCAAAGCTTGACTTTATTTGCATCAATACTATTGAAAGTAGAATTTGGTGTGGCTGCAGCAAAAGGTGTAGTGAGGTCTCTCTTTTCTAAAACTGAATCCTCCAGACAGTATAGCCCATTTTTAAGCTTACCAAGAAGAATTGGCTTATGTGAAGAGCCCTGAATATAACAGTCATTGTTAGTAAAAGTAGCATGACAATTCAAATCTTTGCACAACTTAGGTATAGAAATGAGATTATACCTAAAGTCAGGAACATATAACACATTTGACAAGGTAATTTGACTGTTCAGGGTTATAGTGCCTAAGTGAGTGATTGCTACTTGTTTCCCATTAGGTATAGTGATTAAGTTCTCTGTACCACTATATTGATGTAAGGTATCAAATAAGGAACTATCAAAACACATATGATCTGTAGCTGCACTATCCAATATCCACTTAGCATGAACTGAAGAAGTAAAGCGGAATTTACCTGCCACATGTGCAGATTTGTTGTTCAAGGCATTTTCTCCAGAACTTGTTGCTTGCATTTCTGCCATCTGCTGTGTAAGTTGATACTTCAGGAACTTCTCATATTGTTCTCCAGAAATTGTTACATCATTATCATGATTTCCACCTTCTTCATGATCAGTAAACTCTACATTTGCAGCCACTCTTTTTCCTTTATCAGTGTAGTTGCCTTTGTCATTGTAAGTTCCTTGAGGATAGCCCTTGAGCTTGTAGCATCTCTGAATGTTGTGACCAGGAATTTTACAATGATCACAGTAGTAATTAACTCTCCTCTGATCAGTATTTCTGTAAGTATGATAATTCTGTCTGCTTCTATCATGTTCAGAGAATCTCCTATTCACAGCAAAAGCCATAGACTCAGTTGAGGTTGCATGTGTCTGGTATAGTTGTTTATGTTTCTCTTCTTGAACAAGTAGTCTGTAGGCATGTGATATGTTAGGCAATGGATTCAACATGAGTATGCTTCCCCTAACAACCTCAAAACCATCATTGAGCTTCATCAGAAATTCAACCAGCCTCCTATCTTGCTGTGACTTGAGCAACCTTTGGGTAATTTGACAATTACAGTTGAAACAAGAACATAGAGGAATTGGATCAACAGCATCTAACTGATCCCATATCATCTTGGTTTTTGTATAGTAACCAGAAATATTGTCCTGATCCTGCTTGATTTCATGTAAAGCTTGCTGTAAAGAAAACAACAAGGCTCCAGAAGACTGACCATATCTCTCCTCCAAATTCAACCAAATCTCTCTAGCAGTGCTAAAATATAACACACTTCTTGCTATATCTTGTTCTAAGACTCCTAACAACCATGAAATTATCATATTGTTGCATCTTTCCCAAGCCAAATATGTGTCATCAGTTATAGCAGGTTTAATCAGACTACCTCAACAAATCCAAGCTTATTCTTAGCAGACAAACTAATCAACATCGAGCGCTTCCAATCACCATAACTGTTTCCATCAAATTTTAAGTTTACTAGTTTCTGACCAGGATTATCATATGGATGCAAGTAAAACGGTGAAGTAGGATTTTGAGAAGGGTCTAAGGCCGCCATTGTTATACTTCAAATATAGAACACAACAATTTCAATCTTCAAATACTACAGTGAGATCGAATTTCCAAACGAATCTCAATGAAATCGAATACAAACAACCTAATCTAATTTGAGAAACTATTTGAATAACCAAATCCAGATATACATCAAACAATATCACCAGTATGAATTTCCAATTCAACAAACGATTCAGACAAATCTTCAAACAAATGATGATAATAATTCGCAGAATTTGAGCAACAAATCAAGAAATCAGAGCAAATCCAATCAACAAACAGCTTGAACCAAAAAATCGAGAAATCGAACGAAAAATTACCTCAAATCGAGCAAATCGAGCAAAAAATGCCTCAAATGGAACCAAAAATGCCTCAAATCGAGCAAATGAGCAGATGACGAACAGATTCAAGAGGCAACAAGTAAGAATTTCATCAGCAACAGGTCGTCCCTGTGCTCTGATACCATGTCAGAGATTGCAGCAAAGATCAAAAATAGAAGGACGATTTCATTGATTGTAAAAGGAAGATTACAGAGGAAAATTCTAGAGAGAAGTTTTACATGAGAAGTTTTTATAGGATATTTGTGAATGAATTAAAAATAGCTTTAAGAGCTGTATTTATATCAGTTAGTTGTAACTAACTTTGTAACGGAATTTATTCCTCTAGCTGATGTCAGCAATCCAATATAGTCATGCTCAAGTGTGCTTGTCCAGCTCAGCTTCCACTTGCTCATCATTATTAGTAATCTCAACCATTCTTCCATAGCTCCCTTCTTTCCTTTTCTTGCCTCAACTTCTTTGCTTCTTTATCCAAAAGCTTCAGAGTGCCATCTTTGTACCTAAATATGCACCAAAACACTAGCAACCCCATGAAGCATAAGATACACAAAAAATGTATAAAAATAGAGTAATTAGTGAATTAATACATTGATTCCTCTTAATTATAAGGCTCAAAACCACTCTAAAATCATCCAAATTACAAGCTATCAATAATATCTTTTTTTTTTTACTATTGAGAATATTGTGCAAACATTTGTACCCTTAAATGATTTGTTTACATATTTTCTTCTTTCATTAATGCTACAATAACTAAAGTTTTGACATAGGGACAAACTGAAAGAGCTCCTTGAATATGCTAGCTATGGCACAATGTCGCGAATTAGGCACCCTAGTAATGAATAAAAGGAAAGGAGTAAAATAAACCAAATACATACTTCGTATCAAATAAAGAGTAAGACTTTACAAAAAAAGTAAGACTTTACTAGCTTTTAAGTGGATTCTCAGGGAAATACAATTCTGTTAACCCTGTGGCAGCGGTGCGGTACGCTATAATTGATGATTTGGGCATAGCTCGAGATTTGAGAATGAAGAAGATGCAAGCTCTCTGCGTACCATGCTCATAACTACTGCTGGGAATCCACACCAGGAGTTGGCTGCTGCAATTTATGATGTGGCGGCACATCTTTTCAAAAGTTTCCAAGTTGCTCTTATCTCTCATGTGCCTCGCGAGAACGTCCTAGCTCATAAGTTGGCTGCATTTGGAAAGAACATAGCGGTAGGATACAAAACTCACTACTTGATGTCTGTTTGTGTCAAAGAAATCTATGAAGAGGAGCTTGCTGCTACTGCTACTTCTGCTCTTACTACTCAAGTCCAGTGTTGGTATTACCTTCTTCGGGATGGTTGCTTTAAATGTATGGTTGGTTGAAGTATACCTGTACTAGTTTCACGAACTATTTTGTTCCTTTCTAGCTATCTTTTGCCCATCACCAAGTTTTTTATAAGCTTAAAGGTGATGCTTGTAATTATTAACTTGACAATAGCCTATTAATGTAATTATCTTTCGGTTTGTGTTACAAAAAACAAGAAGGTAAAAGAGACGAAGATAAAAGCAGCAAAAGTGTTAAATTTAGAGCAGCTTTGATTCCAGGGATTCGGCCCGAGATCAATGGCAATCCCTCCACCAACTGCTAGGGTACATGCATACAGATAAAATAAAATTACGGCGAAGGCACCAAAGGCCGATTGAAGATAGTTATGTAAGCCCATGTACAAGATAATTTGAAGATATTTCATCATCATTAGGTCAGCAGAATCAATACTTCAACTAATGTTACAAAGACGATGATAATTTTATACCATCAGTTCAAGGAAAGTACTAAATCGCAGAATCCATTAGATTCAAGATCCACATGAGACCCCCTCTCAACACAAAGATTCGCAGTAAAATTCACATTTGCACAGTGAAAGCTCACTTGCCCTTTTGTAAAAGAGTCTTCTTGTGAATCATTGTGCTCCTATTTACAGATTCAATGGGAAAAAAGAATCCAATGGAAAATTTCTGCTAAAGGGAAGAAAGCTCCTACACACAAAACCTTAAAAATCCTATGTTCTACAAGTCTAGCTACCCTGTTACTAACCTGTATGGAGAATTCCAGAATAAAACCACCATCAAACATGCATATCATCCATCTGCCAGGTAATGTTACCCATATTGTTATCATATGATCTGTCCATTGAAGCAACTTTGGCTCGATATGCTGCTGCTGTTGCAGACATGGTCTTCAGCCTATCACCATGGGGGAGCTCACAAGTGTCTCCAACAGAGCTATATCTAATCTCAGCAGGAGGGATAAAACAGTCCATCGACAAGCCAGGGACATTGAAAGCTACTTCTTCAATTGTCCAAGCTTCTTCCATCCTTGTCTTTGTGTGGCTCATTGCTGTTTCCCCAAATCTAAAAAGGGTCACCACAGAACGTCCAGAATGAGCAATCATTATACCTTCCACAGGCCTGTAATCATCAAGACATGAATTAATCGTAGTTTCCCAATATACAGCATCTCCTCCGTTAGACTGAATGCGGGTTAAATGAGAATCTTCAATGTGTACAAGAAGCCCTGTTTTCTGACTGAAGTAACCAAACAATACATGGCGTATAATTTCAGCAGGCCCTTCACTTCTGGCCTTCAACGTCTTGGGATCAGCACACAGTTTCAGGATGAAGCAATCTTCTCCATTAATCTTCTTTTCACCAATACATCTTGCATTTGTAAACATTGCTGCTGTGGTTCTTGGATCAAGACCCTATAAATTGAAATAATCCAAGAGATTTAGAACATGCATAATTGTCAAACATATAAGCTAAAAGGGCAACTACGATTTATATTCATATAAAAGTCCTCTTAGTCATAAATAAAAATCTTCATACTCGATATTTTACAAGGATACGATAGATTCAAAGTCATTCACCAATTTATTTACAGCAAGAAGCCAGACACTCACCTGAAGTGCACGTCGAAGGGGTCTAACAGGACCTTTAGCAGCATGTGCCCCAAGCCAAGGAGTGTGCCTCCAAACTAGCTTCCCGTTGCAACCAGCATGAACCTTGCTACCACCAAGTGCAAGCTCAACATACCACATGTCAGGATTCATCTGCCATAACACAAATCCACCAGACTCTGCAGACTTGGAAGAGTTTCTGTTCTTAATGACTTTATTAGGAGTCTCAATATCAGAAGCTAGCATCTTTAACTTGCCCATAGCATATGCATTATGGATAGAATTTTGAAGCTTCAACCCTCCAGAAGCAGCCGTATATTGTTGCAAAATATACTGTGCAGATGAAGTTTCCTAAAATAAATTCACCAATTAACACACAAACAACACTGACAGCTTAATAAAAAGACTGAACTAATGAAACTAGCAACATAATCCCTAAAGGGCCCTCCAAAACTCAAAAGAAAATTCGTTTTAAAAATGAGCCAGAGTTAAAAGAAAGAACATTGACAGTTCACCAAACATCTTGAGTCTCGGTTAGATCAGTCTCAAATTTACACCATAAGTAGTAAATTTGGATAGTCTATTCGACTATAATAGAATAACAACAAATTCCTTGTATACTCCAAACCCATCCTTAAATAATGCTGGAGTACTACTACAGACCTACAGTTCATGGGGACAAAAGGGCAGAAGCAGAAACTTCATATTCACATGCAGAGAAATATAAGAGAGAGAGAGAGAGAGAGAGGGGGGGGGGGGGGGGGGCTCAATTCATGCCAGGCATGACAAAAAAATAAATAAATAAAAAATGCAGGTATAAAAGTAAATTCCTTAGACCACCAAACACATATACTCGTAGTTTGATTGATGAACAAGAGATTCAACTAAAGTTGCTTCCTGCTTGTCAACATACCTAAACAAGAATTTTGAAAGCAATGTACCTAAATGTAGAAAAAAAATCCCTCACCTAACCTAAGAGATTTTAAACAATTTCGTAAACCCAATCTTAAGTATCTAGGTAATACATAACAAAGATATTCAAAGAGCATACGTAATACAAGCCCGAGTTTGATGCGACACACTTCATAACTGGCCCGTCAACAACAAAACATCACAAGTTGCAAAGGAATAGGCTACATCTTAAATCAATTGTGGATAGCCCCAAGAGAAACAATACAAAAGATTCGTCCACCCTTCATCATCAATTCCAAGTTCAGTAATTGACAAATGACCCCCCAACTAAAGCTACCAATTCTGTGTTTAATATTTTTAAACAAAAGCAACAAGCAAGAATCTCAGCTAAATTCAGCAACAGAAATTGTACTGAGTATTTGTTTTTCTAATTTCATTAATTAAAGCCTTTTATTAACCCTTCCAGCATTTTATTGTAAATTGGGTACTGCACAAAATACATGAAACAACATAATAACAATAATATAACAATTGGGCTATATTCTACTCCGTATATTGATATTAACACAATTTTTTTGTAATCTACTCCTTTATCACGGATAAACAGTCCATTTTCCCAGGACCTCATAAATATATGCGTTTTATTAAGTTATCTGTTTGTATTTTTGTATTTATAATATCAAAAATAAAATTCATCAATATATCAATTCCTCGAAAATTACCAATACAAGTGTATAAAAACCATTCTCATTGGCCTATTTCAGCATTATCTCCGAAATAAATCATATTAAAATAAATAAATAAATAATTGAACAGATCAGAACCCCTGTAAATACAAATGAAAACAAACAAAAAAAAAGAAAAATTGATAGCCAAACAAAATATTTTCTTAAAAAAATAAATTCAAAAAAGTGAAAGAGACCGAAGGAGGAGGAAAGGTGACTAACAATGGGAGTGTCTTTGATGCTGAGATGAGGAAGGGGCTCAGTGGCGCTAACGTGCACCGGAGCAAGCGGCGCACCCAAAACACCAAGTAAAAGTCTCAGATCCGACCTTTTACAAGCAGCCGAGGAAGAAGATGAAGATGAACCGGAAACCGAGGGATTCCGTTTCATCCAGTGGGCCCATCCTCCTTCTTCTCTCTCCTCACGTGAGCTGCACTGGTCAGGACCCTCTCTTAACGGCGATAACATCTCCGGCGGCCTTAAGCTACCGGATCTCGCGATTAACACCTCTGGTATTGCCACGTGGTGGCCTTTCCGCCGTCGAAGTAAACCAGTCATGGCTGACCCACTTCTTGCTGGACTTCTAGACCTTGATTTTCCTGGAGATAAGCCTCTTACTACTTCATCTTTTAATGCTGAGAAAAAACCCTGTTTCCTCTCCATTTCTTATTTTATTAATAAAGAAAAAAAACCCAAATCATGCAATGATTTTTCTATTTTTTTTGGGTATTTGCAGGAAATGGGAGGTGATAATGGAGAAACTAGAGGAATTCTCTGGACATTTTTAGGGTGAGCAGAAAAATGTAAGAGGTATTCAGTTGTTGAGCAACTGGTGAAAGGAGGAGGAGGAGGAGGAGGAGGAGAGAGAAAGTGAGAGTGAAAGAGAGAGAGTGGGGGATAGTGAGTGAGGGAGTGTGAAAAGGAGAAGGAGAATGCCGTTTGAGAGAAGCAATGGGAGAATGTGATTTCTCTCTCTTTTTTTTTCTGCTTTTGGTCTAAACTGGGGCCAGTGCTGTTGCATAAATTAAATTAAAGTTAATAAATTTAAAAAAGAAATGATGATGAAAGTAGATTAGATTAGGGGAGCAGATTATTTTTATTATTTTTATTATTAATATTTCAAAAAGAATTAAAGATTACGATTGGTAGCGAAACTGGGAAAGGGGGTGGGGAGGAGGATCTTGCACTAAATGGAACTGAAATAAGGAATTAGTGTAATAACGCTTGCTTTTCTCGTGAGAATGGCAGAGGACCAAAGGGAGAGGAAAAGGAAAGACGACTCAATTTATTTTAATTTTGTTTGTCCACTCCGTGGAAACGCATTCAACGGCGCTACCTGGGTTTACGGTCGTCTGCCGATTAATTTTTGTTTGATTTTGTTAAATTCGTTTTCATTATCGTTCATTGTCAATTGTAGATGTCGTATGACTTATATTAATGAAATTTAGTGTTCTTTAAGACTTTTTTCAAAAAAAAAAAAAAAAATGGACAACGAAGGTCCATATCTACATTGAAATTTTTTTTTTCCGCTAAGTGTTGGAAAAACGTCATTTGCTATTTTAATACTGTTATTTTAAGTTTGATCTTGTTATAACAAATTTAATATTTTTATATGTTTCTTCAATATTGTTTTCGAGGTGTCATTTTGCTCTTTTTAGCAATATTTATATATTAAAAGGCTAAGTATTTGTGTTTGAAACTAAGTATTATATTTGCATACTGTTATCACATAAGTGAAATCTGTTATTAAGGAAGACGATACTGTTATTATAAATTAGAAATTGTTAAGCTGTGAGATTTGGTATCAGAGCCATACGGTTAAAAGTTAAATTAAGTTGTTAATTTAATTAATAATTAGGTAAAATTGGAGAATACTAGACCTTCTACTGAGTGTAAAAAAAACCTGATTTTATGCATTATTATCATATTCCTGAAAATACTAGTAATTTTAGCTCAATTTTTAATTATATAGTAGATCAAATTGGTGAATTAAGATCGAAAGTTGATAACATACATGCTCGTTGTATTAATATCGAAAATAAGATATCAATAGCAACAACCAATATTAATAAAAAAGTAAGCGATTTAAAAGAACAGGTTAAATAAGTTCAACTTGCTTTAACAAACGAAGTTAGGCATCAATTCCGAATTGAAGTATCACCTAATAAAGAGAAAATTGTCCCGTATAAATATAAGTATCCTTTTCAAAATTTAGATAAAAATAAAAAGTTTATTGTATCACTCCCTAAAAGACCTACTAGTAACCAAGAAAAGAATAAAGAAACTAAAGATGAGCTCTCATCTTCAAGAGAAAACGCTTAAGGAATAACAAGCCCTATTCAATAGAAGACCCTAATAAGCTTAACGAAATCATGAACTTAATTTCTTAAAAAGGGATTGCTTCTGATAATGAAATAGAGGAAAATAATTACGTTACTTTAGAGGAAGATTTATATCAACAAATGGGATTAATGAAGTTAAATGATCTAGACTTTCTACCCATAGAAGTTGTTCGACAAAAGATTGAAAATAAACTAGGAAAAAGAGTAATGGATAATAATGATGTTGGAGAAGAATTTATTAATGAAAACATTAACGTAAACAATGTTATCCAAAGACCTAGGTATCAAGGGGAAGGAAGTTGCACACGACCAAGATACATACCAAGGAAGACTACCCGATTTAGTGTCAAGGTTATGTCTAATCATACACCTAAACAAGAAGAAGTGACCCTTGAACCTATAAGTTAAACTAGTTATAAGCTTAAACTAGATGGTGTAAGAGATAGACAAGATGTTTTAGATTAGTGGAAAAAGAGTATGAGTAGTGTACTTAATTTAAACACTGAATGGACTTCAAAAAATTTATTAAATTTTATCAAACAAAGTCTCTATGGATGTGTAGAAGAATGGTGCGATGGAATAGATGAAGAAGTCAAAACTGCATTAAGAGCTAGTGAGTCATCTACTAGAATGTTCAGACAGTTATGTCAATACACTGAGTTAGAACTCATAGATCCTAGAGTCGTAACTAATGAAAAACGAATGGAATATCCAAGGAAATTGAGTAATTTTTCCATCTGTAATATGAAATATGTTGATAAATTACATTATGGAATTTGAAACATATTATAAAATTGGTAAAAACGAAACAAATCTTGGAATATTCTACGATAAATTACCAAATCCCATTAATGAAGAAATTAGTGAAATATATCAAGAATGGAGAGAGAAATTCTTAGCTAGGGATGCCTTAGCTTAGGTAATAGAATTGCTTTTCTAAGAAAATGGATTGAAAACAAATATAGAGAGGTTACATGAACTCAACAAATGAAAAGACAATTTCTCACTTGTTCAGATTTCCCAAATAACTATGAATGGGAAAAAAATTATAATAAGAGAAAAAAATTATAAGAAAAATAAATTTAACCGATCAAGAGGAGAAACCTATAAGAAGAAGTATTATAAACATAAATATAGAAAACCAAGTAGGTCTTTCAGAAAGGCAATATATTGTCCAGAGAAAAAGAAGACATGCAAGTGTTGGTCTTGTGGAGAATTAGGACATTATGCTAATGAATGTAAGAAAGTTAATCATAAACTAATAGAAGCCTTAGGAAGTTGGGATTACATAGAAATGCTAGAAGACGAGGCTTTAGAATTGGCTTTGAGCAATAATAAAGGAATAATAGAAATCATAGAAGAAGAAAATGAGTATAATGAAGAACCTAAAGTTAATGATGAATTTGAAGATGAAAATTATGAAGAAATAAATAATATGATGGAAGGAGAAGAGTTAGAAAATTCAAAATCAGATGACAATGAGGAAGAGAAAAGCAAAATGGCTACAGGTCAACTAAAAAGAGCTGAATATTCATTTGAAGATAATGACCTAGATCATCAAGTAAACAAAGAAAGCTAGAATTTTTCCCAGATTACAAAGGATAAAATATTTAAAACTTCTTTCTTTAAAACTAGAACTAAATATGTATGCAAAGAAATAGAAGGAAGCATAGTAATCAAAGATTATGAACAAAAGGCAGCCGAATTAATAATATAAACTCGAAAAGTATTAAAAAAAATAAAGAAAAAGGAAATTACAGCTATATTTGAATTGGCAGTACAAGTATACATATATAACTCCTTTGCAACATTTTGGCAAAGATGTAATATGCTTGAGTTTTATTTGCGACATTAGACATAAAGAATTTTATGATCAAATAATTACTGGTATATGTAGACACCTAAAAATGTCTCTCTAAAACCAAATCTGATGATGAACAACCTTTCACCGCCATTATTGGTCGGGTTAAGTATTTAATATTTGGAGTGCTTAAATCCATGTTCAATCCCAATACATTTCATAAACCAATCCAATTCCTAGCCCATTTCCCCAAACCATAACCTATTTTCCTTTTTTCATGTCTTTTAACCCAAAATGATTCATTTCATGTCCTTTAAAATAATTCATTTCGTGTTCTTTTTATAAAAACGATTATACCAATTTATTTTGGTCCATAATATGGGTCCAATGATTGAATAATTGGATGGATCTTGAAAAGAGCTTTCTAACAATATATTATAAACCCAAATTCGAGTTATAACGAATTTCAAAATTTTCACTACACCCAAGTGTAGGGAATGCTCCCTACACCCCCATAACATGTCATCATTTTTATTAATTGTTGCACTACGTAATAGTATTTATTTCTTTTTTTTTTCCCACTCATCAACTAGTGCTTTCGCCGCAAGCTTTCTGGAGTAACATCCAACTTAGCAGTAGTAGCAAACTAGCAATCAAAGATAGTTCGATTACTTTAAGTTAGCTATTCCATGGTCGGGTTCCTACTACTGTAACATTCATACGGGTTTCCAAAAGCTACGAGCCTACGAGTACTATTGAAATGCTAATTAGATTACCGAGATAAAATTATTGTCCTCTTATTCCTAAGCTAATGAGAGATGATTTGATTGTTTTTGTATTATCCTCTTTTTTCTTAAGATTTGTCTTCATTTAGTTAAATAGGGTTTATGATGGGTATTCACTTGGTTGAAGGTGTGTTTTGACTTGAAGATGTGTTTGGCTGTCAGAGGTGGTAGCTTTGAGGCGTGCCCCCTTCAATTGAAGAAAGTGATGATAAAATTCTTAGAGTGAATAACTAGGATCTAATTTTCTTATAGTGTAATAAGGATTGTGGTATAATTGGGTATGCAGTTGACTCCTTTGATGAATTCTTGTGGTAGGAGTGTAGGAATGTAGGAGTACTAGGAGAGATAAATTAAAGTTTCAAGGCCAGGTAACAATGATAGTTGAAGAAAAAGATAAAAGTTATTGTTTTTTCCTACAATGCATTGTTTATAGTTTTTATAAGTGTACATATAATATTTTGTAAATGAACATTTTAATGCTTATTATAAATGAACATTTTAATGCTTATTATAAATGAACATGTACTTATTTATAATTGAACATATGATATTTTTTTATATGATCATATAATGATTTATAATTGAACATTTAATTGTGCAGCATTGTTATAGATAAAAAATGTATTAATTTATATTTATTTGCACTAATTAAGTTATTATTGAAAACTTTTGTGGGGTAGTGATAGATGCTCATGGCAAATTCAATATTCAATATGTTTCATGTAAATGACCATAGAAGTATTAGTACGTATTTTTTCATTGTTCATTTTTGTACACGTAATAATAATGAATATTCAATTTGAGATTGAGCAAGTAATTCAAGGAGAATAATGAACATGTATAAAATGTAATTGAAATATATTAATATGAAAATGATCATATATTAATGAACATGAATTCCATCTAAAAATGTACATTATTGCATGATAGATTATATTTACTAGCCTAAAATCACCTAATAACAAGTTTAAATTTGAAAATGAACATTTAGCGATAGACTAACAATTTTAACTGAATTATGATATAATTTTGGAACATTATTCTTAAATTCTTAAAATATAATTCAGTTATAATTATAAAAATTACGCACTTACTTCCATGTAATATAGGAAATTACAAATTGTTATTATATTGAAAGTCCTTATTAAATCTACAGAATATATATAAAATAAAAAAGATGGAAAAATATGGACATTTATGAGAAAATTCTAA